TATTTTCCGAAATTCTTGTCGCCAATTCTGGGCGATAGTTTGAAGTGTGCCCAAAGTGATAATAGCAAATAATACTGGTCAGTTCTTAAACCTTATCTGCGGCTGGGTTTGCCCTTTGATAATTTTTTGCACTATTTCAGATATAAATCAAATAGGTTTTTGCAAATTCATTTGTTTATCTCCTGTCTAGTAATCTGTGATAATAATAATGGAGAATTGGGTTATATAATTGTCATCGAGTGCATTTGATAAAACCAATAAAATATTGTCTGCATTTCTTTTATCGGTATAAAAACCGCAAAGGTTCTTGGGTTCGGTATCAGTTGTATCGCAGCAGCAACATGAAATTCTTGGTTATTTTTGCCTTGGCTTTGGCCACTGCCTCAGCCTTCGACTTGAGAGCCGAAAATGTGGAATCCCGCAGCGTCGTTATGCCCGTCGTTGAAACTGAGGGCCGTATTACCAATGGCAACACTGCCTCGGTTGGTCAATTCCCCTACCAAGTTGGTCTTTCCTTGAAAATTAGCGCTCTCTCTTCGTCCTGGTGTGGTGGTTCCTTGATTGGTTCCCAATGGGTTTTGACCGCTGCTCACTGTACCGATGGGTAAGTTGGGATTTTTACCTTGAAAATAGGGCCGAATGAAATTTTCATCGTAAAAATCAAATTTTAGTGTCTCCTCCGTCACTGTCTACTTGGGCGCCACCGTTCGTACCTCTGCTGAAGTCACCCACACCGTTTCGAGCAGCAACATCATCATCCACTCTGGCTGGAACAGCAAGACTGTTAAGAACGATATCTCCTTGATTAAGATCCCCTCCGTATCCTACACCAGCCGCATTCAAGCCGTTAAATTGCCCGCCATTGCCAGCTCTTACTCCACCTATGCCGGTGATTATGCCATCGCTTCCGGTTGGGGCCGTATCTCTGACTCTGCCACCGGTGTCACCAACAACTTGCAATGGGCCCGCATGCAAATCATCACCAACACCGTTTGTGCTGCCACCTATGGTACCTCCATTGTTACCTCCTCCAACATCTGTGTCTCCACTCCCGGTGGTGTTTCTACCTGCAACGGTGATTCTGGCGGCCCATTGGTTTTGGAATCCTCCAAGGTTCAAGTTGGTTTGACCTCCTTCGGTTCTTCGGCCGGTTGCGCCAAGGGTTACCCAGCTGCCTTCACTCGTGTCACCAGCTACTTGGATTGGATCAAGTCCAACACTGGTATCTCTTATTAAAAAGTGGCTGACATTTTGAAAACGAATTTATCTTTGTTTGAATAGAAGTTTATTTTTATTTTAATAAATGGTAATTTTATAGAATTTAATTATATAAACAAAAAAATATTTTTTGAAAAATCCGGTATTATTGGCCTGTTGGTCCTTTCAAAACACATTTTTAAAAAATTCAAGACTTTTGGTATATTTGTCCTCGAAAAAATTCAAAAAAAAAATTCTGTTTGTCCTCGAAATAAAATTCTTGAAAAATCCAGGGTTATCGGTTTGTAGGTCCGTGCAAAAATATTTTTAAAAAATCCAAGATTATTAGTCTCTTAGTCCTAGAAAAATATTCCTATATTCTTATTCGATAATAGGTATGTTGGCCCTTCAACGGATATTCTTGAAAATCCACGATCTGTCTGTTGGTCCTTAAAAAATATTGTTATAAAAAACCACGATCATTGGTCTGTTGATCCTTTCTTAAAAAATAAACAATTATTGGTTTGTTGGTCCTTGAAAAAATATTTTTAAAAATCCACGATCTGTATGTTGGTCCTGCAAACAAATATTTTTAAAAAATCCACAATCTGTATGTTGGTCCTGCAAACAAATATTTTTAAAAAATCCACGATTATTGATCTGGTGGTCCCTGAGAAAAATGTTATTAAAAAAGCCTGTGGGTCCTTGATTATTAAACCGTTGGTCCCTGCAAAATATTCTTTAAAAAATCCTAGAATATTGGTCTATTGATCCTTAAGAAAAAAATCTTAAAAATCTCCGCTTATTGGTCTGTTGGTCCTTTGAAAAAATATTAAAAAAATCAATACAATTGCCCCTTAAAAAATATTTTAAAAAAATCCACGATTTTTTGTCCTTGAAAAAATGAAAAAAAAATCCAAAAGTGTCTCTGAAAAACTAGTCTTAAAAAGTTAACGATTATTTGTCTATTGGTCCTTGGAAAATTATTTTAAAAAAATTCAATACTATTGGTCTGTTGGTCCTTGAAAAAAGATTATTAACAAATCTGCGGTCTATTGGTCCTTGAGAAAAAAATACAAGACTATTAGTCCTTAAAAAAATATTATTAAAAAAATCCTGTTTGTCCTTATTAAAAAACATTCTAAAAAAATCTACAAAATATTCGTAAAAAATCCTAGATTGTTGGTCTTTTGATCCTTAAGAACATATTCCTAAAAATCACCGAATCATGGTGTGCTGGTCCTTTAAATTTTTTTTTTTTTAAAATCCAAGATATCTGGTCCGTTGATCCTTAAAAAAATATTTGAAAAAATACAAGATTTTGGTCCGTTGGTTGAAAAAAGGAAAAAAAACTCAAAATTAACGAAACTCAAATAACGAAAAATAAACGATTGCTTGTCTGATGGTCCTTGAAAAATTATTCTTAAAAAATCCGGTTAGTTCTTGAAAAATATTCTTCAAAAATCCGTCATTATTGGTCTCTTGGTCCTTGGAAACACATTCTTAAAAAATCCAAAATCATTGGTCTGTTGGTCATTGAAATAAAATTTTTGATAAAAATCTCTGAAAGAATATTCCTAACAAACCTATGATCAATGGTGTGTTGTTCCATGAAAAATCATTCTTAAAAAAATCACAACTATAGGTCTGGTATTCCTTGAAAAAATACCCTTTAAAATCCACGATTATTGGTCTGTTGGTTCTTGAAAAATATTCTTTGACAAGATGTCCTTGAAAAATATTTTTAAAAATCCAAGATTGTAGGTCCTTAAAAAAATATTCTTCAAGAAACCACGATTATTCTTCTGTTGGTCCTTGAAAAAATATTTTTGAAAAGTTGTTGATCCTTGAAAAAATATTTTTATAAAATCCAAAATCATTTATCTGTTGGTCCTTGAAAAAACTTTCTTAAAAATCCCTGAAAAAAATATTCTGAAAAATCCACGATTATAAGCCTTTTGGTCCTTGAAAAATTCACGATTAATATTGTCTGGTGGTCCTTGAGAAAACATTGTTAACAATCCTTGGAAAACAATTATAATAACAATTATAAGCCATTTGATCCTTGAGAAAAATATTCTTAAAAATCCGAGATTATTGGTCTGTTTGTCCTTGAAGAAATACTTTTAAAAAATCCACAATAATTTTTCTGTTCGTCCTTGAAAAAAATATTCTTCAAAAATCCAAGATTATTGGTCTGTTTGTCCTTGAAGAAATACTTTTAAAAAATCCTCAATAATTTTTCTGTTCGTCTTTGAAAACATATTCTTATAAAATCCACGATTATTCGTCTGTAGGTCTTCGAAAAAATATTCTTAAAAATACATGATTCGTCGCTAAGTCATCGAAAAAATATTCTTAAAAAATCCGAGATTATTGGTCAGTTGGTCCTTAAAAAATATTCTTCGAAAAATATTCTTCAAAAATCCACTATTTTTCGTCTGTAGGTCTTCGAAAAAATATTCTTAAAAAATCCACGATTATTGGACAGTTGGTCCTTAAAAAAATATTCTTCGAAAAAAATATTCTTCAAAAATTCACTATTTTTCGTCTGTAGGTCTTCGAAAAAATATTCTTCAAAAATCCACAATTGTTGGTCTTTAGTCCTCGAAAAAAAAATCTTAAAATCCACAATTATTCATCTGTAGGTCCTTAAAAATATTCTTCAAAAGTCCACGATTGTTGGTCTTTAGTCCTTGAAAAAAAAAAATATCTTAAAAATCCACAATTATTCGTCTGTAGGTCCTTAAAAATATTCTTCAAAATCCACGATTATTGGTCTGTTGCTTCTTGAAAAAATATTCTAAAAAAATCACGATTATTTTTCTTTTTGTCCTTTGATAATGCACAGTTATCGGTCTGTTGATTTATAAAAATCTATTCCGCGATCGTATTGATCCTTTCTAAAAATACACTATTATTGGTGTGTTGGTCCTTGATACAACGTTCATAAAAAATCCCGATGAAAATATACTTTAAAAACCACGATTATTGGCATCTTAGTCCTTGAAAAATATCTTTTAAAAAATTATTAGTCTATTGTTCCTTGTGAAAAAATTGTTAAAATCTCCGATTTTTGGTACACTGGTACTTGAGAAAATACTGTTAAACATTTCGGTCACTGACAACATAAACATAACACAGGATTATTGGTCTGTAGGACCTTAAAAAATCTTGAAAAAATTCGTTAAAACCCGTGTTTATCGATCTTTTGGTCCTTAAAGAAAATATTCTTAAAATCCACGATTATTGATCTGTTGGTCCTTGAAAAATGTTTTCAAAAAATTGCGATATCAAAACCTTTGATTGGAACACCAAACACCTATCATTGATTTCAGCTTTTCCACTTGGATATTTTGATGAAATGTTTTCATTTGTTTTTCCAAAACTACTCCCTCCATTGCATGTTATTTTCCAACGGTCTCTTTAATTCTCGATGGCATTTCGTTGCATTTCAGCCGACAATTACGTTATGGAAAATCGAATTCATGTTTTGGAGCTAGTCACATTTGCATAAATTTTCTTCGATTTCTAGTCTCAACGCTTAAACTAAAAGCATTTAAACGGTTTGCGTGTAAACGGCCGTGGAGTTGTTTACTTGGCGCCGATTTTTGAAAAGAAATTTCTTGATGTTGCAAAGTTTTTTGTTGTTGTTGTAGCCTCTTTTTTCTGTATATGACCCAAATTATTAATTAATTTATCAAACGTTCATGAAATGCTGCGAGTTTTTGTTATAAACAATTTTTTTTTTTCCACTTTGTATTAATTTCTCTTTCTTTGTTGTTGTTTTATTTCTATTACAGGCGTTTAGTGAAAAATTATCAGCCCAAGAAAAAAGAAGAAGAAGATAATGAGTAAGTACGATATAATTAATACAAAATATATAGACATGTGTTTGATTTGAAATATATATACATTTACAAATAATAAACAATATAATCTGCAAGAGAGAGAATGTATGTGTGTGACGGTGTTGGTGTGCTGTGTTATTTTTAATATATAGAACTAAAACCACAATCGGTGGATTTACTTGTTGAAATAGTGAGTATTTTGATGCCACATTATTGATGGGGGTTTGAGGCCATCCATGAACCACGTTGAACCATTGATCCTGGGTGATGTGCAGTAGTATCAGACAATATAAGCTTAAGAGATATTGAATAAAAATGAAAAAATAAAAGTATTCTGAAAAGAAAATCACGCATTTACTGTTGAAGAACTTGAAAAATATTCTTAAAAAATATACATAAAAGCCCCAAAAATATTATTAAAATTCAAAAAAAAAAAAAAAATCCTCTAGAAAATTAAAAAAATATTGTTAAAAATCCATAAAAGTTTCTCTTGTATATCTCTAGAAAATACCCAAAATAACTTTGCAAATATTGCCATATACAACTTGAAAAAAATAGTAAAAAAATTCCTGATAGACCTTAAAAAGGTTCTTAAGAGTCCACGAATATTTTTCAGAGAGTTTTTGAAAATATATTTCTAAAAATACCACGAAGATTACCCAGATAGGTCTAGAAAAATATTGTTGAAGGTCCACAAATATGTCCCCATAGACCTTGAAAATATTAAAATAATGCTAATATAGTCTTCATCGTCCTTGGAAAAAAAATACTCTTAAATAATCCATGAAGAATTGGATATTTTTTAAAAGTTGAGAATATCACCATGATAGTCCTTTAATAACACTGTGCAACACAAAGTAGTTACAGGCAAATCCCGCAGATAATGAAAGTGAAGCTAAAAAAGGAAACCACGTATATCAGCGTTTAGTAAATTTACAGCGCAAAGTAACCAAATAGAAAGGACAAGATTTCTTCTTCTTCCACACACTTTGGAAATTTTCGGATTAAGATTCCTTAGAATCCATGTATTTTAAGTATCTAGTGTCTTTAGAAATTTGGCAGATGAAAACACGAAAATTTATTGTGTTATTTAAAACCTAAAGCGAATCATAAAAAGGTCTTTTTGGTCCTTTTTTAAAAATATGGCTAAAAAGTGCAAAATCGATTATAAAAAGCATGAAGTTCAGAAAAATTCATGAAATCTTTATTTGACTGCGGACTGCTCCTCAAATGGTCTATTCGCATAGTCTAATTTTGGCTTACTCTTCCCAACATTTCGAACAGAATCGCATGAATAAATGCTTCAATGTTGTCTTCTATTCTTCCATTGAAGCGGGCTCATTTGTATAGATATGAGCTTCAGCATAGCCCCACAAAATAATCCCAAGGCGTCAAATCGCACGATCTAAGCGGTTAATTGACCGGTCCCGAATAAGTCCATAGTTACGCGAGCTGTGTGGCATGTGGCACCGACTTGTGAGAAATCATATGCCAGGCAAGTAAAGCTCTTGAACTTTACTATAACTAACAATGATGGCTAATTTACTTGGAGACCTACGGTCAAACGGCCCATCCCGAGAAATAGTTAGAGAAGAAAAATAAATGGATTAGATGAAGGTGTGCACCACATCTAGTCCATTTTTTGGAGAAGTCCTTCATCTCCATCTGCAATGGCTTAAGATCTGCGGTATCAACAATTTTAAACTTTAACATCATTGGTCGCATTCTTTGATATAGGTCCACATTTCGATATTTTCCCCCAAAAAAAAATAAAGCTCACTGAAAACGATAATTTTTTAAAGGCATACTAAGAATGATGTACTCTTCAAGATTTGTAATTCCACTTGTAACATGGATTTACAAAAGTTGGGCCTGGTCGAGCCTTCTTTCATTTTATTCATATGTTATAAAAATACCCATTGGAATTTAATCTATGCACACCAACACACTCACTTACACATACACTATAATTTATCCACACATCGACATTTACTTGACTCAAATCAAATTTATCTCCCCTCTTTAGATTCACATCATGGCAAGCTTTCCGCAAAGTTCCAATGAAATCAGTGACTTTGGCTGGACAACGGGAAGTTGTGGCTGAATCCCTGCAATTACAAATCATACAAGGCATTTCATTGCTCTCCAAAACCCTAAGGGAAGAACGAAAAGTAAGTCTTACTCAAAAAATACACCCCCGTTTTTTATTTCACTGTCATTAATTAACAACAATTTTTTTTCTAGAATGTCTTTCCAACGGTACCATTTTACATCAAAACCTCACCACACAACTGGCTGCATTGGAAACGGGCCCAAACGTACTATGAGAAAGCTTATCGTGATTCGGAACAAAGCCGTTGAAAATACAAAACGGCTGATATGGACTTGAATCTGAGTCGAGCCGAGGTGGAACGTACAAGAATATTATGACGGCAAAGATACAACAGTCAGACGATGCCAAGACGAGTATGCCAATCAATTACAGAAATCAAATAATCTGCAGCAACAGCATTATCATGAACTATTGCCGGAGGTAGGAGGAATTCATTCACCATAAATTACATTTAATCCAATTTATTGTCTTAGGTATTAATCGACTGCAAGAATTGGATGAAAAGAGAACCCGTGGCATCAGAGAATTCATTATTAGTGCCGCCGATGTAGAGTCCTCTGTAGCACCCATCATTGCCCGGTGTCTTGAGGGCATGGTCAAGGCCGGCGAATCAATTAATGAGAAGGAGGATTCGTATAAAGTTATCGAAAGGTAAGTAAATTGAATTCTTTACTTTTGGGCTTAATTAAATGTTTTTTTTTCTCGAATTTTTAGATATCAATCTGGTTTCACACCACCAGGCGATATACCTTTTGAGGATCTTTCCAAAATGGACACTCTTGATACATCCCAGAGTCCCACTATAATCATGTACAGTCCAGTCATTTAACCGTTAAGGGTACCATAAGTGCTAATAAAATTAAGAAACGTGTGGGGATATTCAACATCTTTGGCAGTAATAAGGTAAGTTAAAGTTTGTTTTGTCGTCGTCATTGTTATGTTGCTTATGAATTCTTCATGTTTTGTTTGTGCGGCATTGTTTATGTTAGAGATCCATTGAATTGTTTTTTTTTTAATGAGTAAATGTTCCAATGACACGAAATTATATTAGGAAGTACTCAAACTTTTGATGCAAATGTTTGTTTCTTAATAGTTCTAACCAAAATCTAAATAGCCATATAATCTGTTGATGCTAAAAAAAATTTGTGTCTTGAAGGGAGAATCTACTTTAGATAGGTCTACCACTTATGATCGAAGTGGAAGTTCTAAAAGGTACATATTCTCAATGATAAAAAAGAAAAAATAAAAGGAAAAATTGTTTTCGTAGTTTGATCAAAAATTGCTCGAATCCGCAGCCATGGTCTTAGTGGAGTAAATTAAATTTATTCCGTCTCAAAGTTTTCGTTTTGTCTTGAAGGGAAAACCTTATTCACAAGAGATAACTTAGCAAATATACCTTCTAATCGATACGTGGAAGATCTAAAACGTACCTATTCTCAAAAGAATAAAAAAGAAAAATAAATTAAAGAAGAATTGCGATGTGAGGGCTGATATCCAAATTGTACCAAATTGCCTTGGCTCTCTTTTAGAGGAATAGTCCCATAGTTATAACGAACTGACTACGAATGGTCTCTGACTTCTGACCAACAAACAAGTTTCAACTGCAATCCTTTGTCAGTCTTCATAGCGCAAACCTTAGATAACTGCTAGTATTAGCTGACGGATGGCTAATTGGCCTCACCGATTGACACTGAAGCCATGGGGCCTCCGAGACAGGCACAGAGCCGACTTTGCTGTCTTGGTGGTAATGACCCCGGCTCCCCTATAGTATGCTCAGCTCAACTCATCCGTACATTCTGCTGTTCTACCTCATCCGAAAGGAAGAAGTGTCGGATCTTCATTTGGGGTCAGCCTCATCAAAAACCGCAACTTTAAGGTCATGCGGTACCATCCGGTTTTTGCCTTCTTATTAGAGTGCTATCCATCTTAGCGGCTACCGAAGTATACGAACAGATATACCGTCTGCGTCGTCACCATTTCCTTCGCCCTGGGTTGCTGCTTGTCCGTTGACGCAATCCTCTTTACCGCCATTGGCTGACCCTGGCTTACCCATAGAGTGCAGCTCAGCTAATCCGCAAATTCCACTGTTCGACATCACCCAACAGGTAGATATATCGGATCTCCCTTCAATCAGCAGCCTTGTACCCATTTGAGGTCAGATATTCGCTACTCTAAGGTCATCCGGTGCCATCCGGCTTTCACCTTCCAATTAGTGTGCTTCCCACTATCCTTCTTTGCCGCTACCGAAGCATATGGAACGGACTGTTGTACCGTCTGAGTCGTCACTACTTTCTTCGCCCTGGGTTGATGCTCCCCAGTTGATGCAATCCTCTTTACAGCCACTGGCTGACCCTGGCTTCCCCATAGATTGCAGTTCAGCTAATCCGCACATTCCACTGTTCGACATCACCCAACAGGTAGATATATCGGATCTCCCTTCAATCAGCAGCCTTGTACCCATTTGAGGTCAGATTATTCGCTACTCTAAAGTCATCCGGTGCCATTCGGCTTTTACCTTGCAAATTTGTGTGTTTCCCACTATCCGTCTTTGCCGCTACCGAAGCATATTGAAGGGACTGCTGCATCGCCTGAGTCGTCACCACTTTCTTCGCCCTGGTTGCTGCTCCCCAGTTGACCGCATCCTCTTCACAGCAATTGGTTGAGAAGGGAACTGATCGCCTTCGGTGCTGTTTCCTTCAGCGAGATTTGCAACTAAGCAGATTTTCTTGGCAGTCAAAGCCTGACTAGAGGTCGAGGTCTGGATTACCCTGGTCCGCTTCCTCGTCAGACGGGGGACTTTCCGAGTAGCCTATTGTCGTATACTGTCCTGACTTAGCGTTAACAGTCCCATATTCGCAACGATCTGACGGATTTCTTGATGCAATATTTT